AATAAGAACATGTCAATCACGATTAAGCTTCTGGAATCGGAATCCCTTTGAAATGCAGCTGTTTCTTCTTTAATTGTGGCAGCGGACTCTGAAGAAAAGAAAGGTCCAGCCTTAAAGATGAGTAAGGAATACAAAATAGCTCAGGATTAGTTGCGGAGTTCAAAGGTCGCTAATTACACTAAGGAGTTCCCAGACACAGGGAAAACATTAAACAGGTCACCTACCAAACGGGAAACAGACTTTGTCTTCAGAAATTATCCTGAAGTGACAGGTTCCTAGACAAAATCAAAAGCATCATAGTGTGCCCAGCTGATCTTGAAGGGATGAAAACATGAGTTGGTTTAGTTCTGTAGTCTTGCTGGAATGGAATGGCAACAGATGGCATGGGGTTCTCCATCATCTCTATACTTTTCCAGTACTCCTCAGATTTTCCTTAGTTTTCTATAAATGTCAAATCAAAGTCTATTGGTTTTTCTAATTTGTTCACGAAGAAAGTTTTGCTTAAGGAATTATTATGTTGAATCTCTGCCTACTCACTAGATAAATGCCTCTTGCCTACCTTAGTGTACTTTGCTAATAAGCATTTGAATAATCGAAATTTCCAAATGGCTCTATTAGCACAAGTACAACATTAAGCCTTGAGTTGAAGAGACATAAATAACTTATGGGGAAATGTTCTTTCAAAAGGAAAGTTTTTACTACTGATTATCTATGATTAAGCTACAATAATAAGTTAAAGTCCTGGTCAGACAGTTATTCTTCTTTGTTACTTGGGATAATTTTGAACATAGAACTTTATGTATGATAATGCTTTGCAGAAAATGAGGGTTTATAATGAGTAGGATTGACCTTAATTAAAAAATCAAACTTCAAATCCTAAGTTCATATGCACTATCCCTTCAAATTATTATAGCTCTCTTTTGAGGAGTTAGCAGCTTTTTCTAAGCCTTTTCTGAGAAGATTCATTAAAAAACAGAACCCAGAATATAGTTGAATTGAATATTAATCTGTAATGCATATTTTTTATAATGCTTTTAAATTCTATTCTGTAAAAGAACTTTGACATGAACTAAGTTCTTAGGATCTTGAGATTACTTTTTTCTTGGTCACTTGGAGTCCAACTTGACAATGAACTGCTCTGAAAACAGAATGTGACATCTAATTATAGAAACAGGTAGAGAATAAAGAATATGGCTAATGGTTTCTGAAAAAATAAAAAAAAATATAATAAGAAAATTAGAAAGACAAATTTAAAGAAAATACACTATTATGTAAGAATAAGAGTAAATGATACTCTACCCACAGAAAGGTTTTTGAGTTTTTACATGAATTTATTCATTAATGGATTTTAATTTAGTAAAATAAGGAAAAAGCAATATTATATCTACCTTTATCTTCAGAAATTGGCTGAAGACATTATATAATTGCAAAACATTACATTATTCTGCAGGTATCCCACACATCTTTATTTTTTAAAATATGCCTATAGATATCCAAAGCAAAATGTTATTATGGCAGGTTAACAAGCTTACTTAAAATAAATAGAATTATGCAGATTCTTTATTAGTCAATGGGATAGTTCTGATTAAGAACAGGTTACTATTTAAGCAAGTCTCCTTTGTCTACATTGGCTGATTTTTCAAGAGATTTATAGTTGTTTCTAATTTGGTTGCTGATATTCTATACCAGCACAATGTACTGGGAGATAAGTATTTTTTTTTTGTATTGGGGATCGAACCCAGGGACACTCTACTACTGAGCTACATCCCCATTCTGTTTTATTTTAAGACAGAGTTGCTGTAGATTGCTAAGACTGGACTCAAACTCATGATCCTCTTGCCTCAGTCTCTCAAGTCTTTGGGATTACAGGTGAGTACCACCATGCCTGGTTTAGTACTTAGGTTTGAAAGAACAAATAGTTGTCTTGCATGTCAGGTACAAACCATTGGAATAGCTGCCTGAAGCTCTGCACTGAGAAGCCTGAGGTCTTACCCAGGAAGGCTCACAGTAGGAAGAGGGTTGTGATTGATTAGCAGTTATCTGCTATAGGGGTGGGAAGGAACATGTACGGCATGTTGACCCAGGATGAGTCTTCAATAAGTCAGAGTGAATCACGAATTCTTTGTATTCTGAATCACAGTGACAGAAAATTTGAAAGGGTAACAAACACAGGAGATATTAGCCTTTACAACAATAATATTATATAACAATAATGATATACTACAATAAAATATATAATTATATATTAATGCTATGATATATAACATAATATGCAATATATTACAATAATGTTATGACAAAAATATCATAATATATTGACATTCTTTCAAACTATATCAGATTAAAAAATGTCAAATATGAATATTTTATAATTAAAATCCTTCAAATTTTTTCACTTACAGGTTATATGAATACACAATAGATATAAAAACTATGATTTCATTTATGCTGTGTTACTATTGTATAAATCCCATTTAAATATTAAAAAAATCACAGTAATAGTGATCCATAGGTTACTGGAGCAGGGGCTTTAGAATTCCAGATGTAATAATCAGAAGACACTAGTTTCCGGTCTAAAAAAGGGAAATAAATAAATAAATAAATAAATAAATAAATAAATAAAGTATTTCATCTTAGCAAAAAAACAGGAGAGCAAAGTCATGATTTTTTGACATTGTTGAGTGCAATCATTTCATGGCAATCCTTTGAAATATTCATTTTAATTTTATTTTATCAAGGCTTTATTATTTATTTTTACCACTTAAAAAATGTAAGCTCTTTAAATCTTTGAACAATCCATCTTTGAGCTTACATAAAATATCTCTTATTGATGCCAAGTCTGTAAATTTTTTCCTCACATTTCTCCTAAATACTATTTCTTATGAATCATTAATTGTAAAATATTTAATTTTTTTGTTGGTTTCCCTTCTCTAACTTCTTCACCACTGTCCTGATTCTGGTCATCTTATTCTTTATTCATTCAAAGTGTCAAAGATGTAAACCAACAATCAACTTTCTAGCAACATGATAAAAAAAAGTGGCTTTGCTGGGTTTTCATTATAGTTCTGATCAAATGTAAATAGCTTTGCAACTTTAGTCAAATGGCAATTTCTTTGAACTAAACTTTGCTGATGTGTGGAATTGAGATAGTAATGCTTCTTTGGATTTAGTCTCAGGCAAATTATTATTATTGTGTATATGTATATCACTAATTATTTAATTCAGCCTTTTCTACCTTTCTTCTTAATAATGCAAAGAATAGTTTGATCCTCAGTTCTGCCATCATTACTAGCTATGTGACCCTCTGTTTCATCAGTGTCCTTATCTGTAAAATGGAGATAACTCAATATAGGATGCTGTGAGGAGTAATGAGTTAGTACACATAAAATAGAAACTATGCTGAGCACCTAGTAAATAAAAAATATTAGCTATTAATGAAATTAGCATTATTACTATACTATTTTCAGAACAAAGCTGTTAATTTTGAATATAGACTTTATTGCCAAGATGATGGCAAAATAAAGGTTTTACATGGCTGCACAAATTGGCTGTCACTGTCTGAAATAACCAGAGTTAGGAAATAAAGACTAGTTGTAATGATCCATTTAAAATGAGCTCTTTCAATATTTTGCTTTTTTAAGCAGGTGTATAAGTGAAACTTATTCTGTATTATGCTCTCTGAAAGTTACATGTTTAGTTAATACTGACAAAATACTTCAAATGTTCTAATTATTAAAAGACAATATATTTCTCATAAATATTTTAAAACATCGGTCTGTTTGTACTTAGACAAAGATACTGATTGTCCAATATTATGCTTTCATAAAACATAAATGCACTATGAATACTCTTCTATAAATTCATTTAAAAAATACAAACAACAACAAAACTGATGAAAAAATGAGGGAAACCCCAGGGAGGTGAGAAATGAGCTTTTTCTGGTTTTACTAGATAGAATATGTTTCTGAAATTCACAAGAAATTGCTTAGATTCCATAGTTCCAAGTTCTTTAATTCTTTTGAAATATTCAAATACAAAGTCTTGTCCTATTCTTTTTATTTTAGGGACCTTAATTCTTAGTTTAAAAAATGTTTATTTAAATACAGAAATAATTTTTATAAATTAGCATCATTGTTATCTAAATATATACATATGATAGCTTTATTCTCTTCAATCTATAAGGCAAAAGGTTCTCCTTAACTTTATCTAATTATACCTCATTCTAGCTACTTTTCTATATCAGCCATGTGTATTTGATCTGAATGAAATAATTTTGAATTCATTTATAAATTTCTTTTTGTCTAGCTATGTTTTCATATAAAGTATACATATATGTATGTATAAGATATATATACATATATATATTTCACAACCAGTAAATCCATTGAAGACAGGAAATCATCTTTACAACTTGCCTAGTGGTAGACTAGAGAAGGTGGGAAATAGTGTTTATTGATTATAATATTTGCTAAAAATTACTTAAGTTTTTAAGTAATAATCATACTTACCATCTATTGAATCTATATTATATGCTAAGTGCTTGATCAGTATAATCTTACTTAAACCTCATAACAATTCTAAAGTAATTTATTTCCACTTTAAAGATAAGGAAACGAAAACTTCAGGAAGTTCACTGAAGCAACACAGTCAATAAAATGTTGGAGCCATAGCTTGAATCCTTGTTTGTCCAATACCAAAGTATGTAACCTTGTGAACCACCTTTAAATAAGAGTTTATTATAACCAGAACAAAGCAAATCTGATTTTATAATAAAGCCCATCCCATCTTAATCCTTGCTATTCCAGATCCTATTTTAAACTGGAAAAGACTGAGGGCCATACAAAGTTCAGAAAGTGTTATGCTGGGGTGGATAAAGTCAAAATTTTTACAAATTGGGATTATTCTCCAATTTCTAAATTCTGTTGTATTTTAATTTTACCTTAATAACAACACACCACCATTTAAATCTCATTAAGTTAGTTTGAATCTGTACAACTTACATGAACTTATTTTTGGTTTTCCTGATGCAAAAACTTGAACTGAATGTTGATCCGCATAACATCCGGTAAGTGTGTAATCTAAGATGCTAAAATGAAGCTAGGAAGAGAAATGTACTAAACTGAAGTGATTAGTTGGTAAAAATGATGATCACATTTTTTTCTCTTGATATAACTTAAAAAAATTCATCTCACACAGTTCATAAAATAAAAATCATAAAATATTGAACTTCAATTATGAGTATACGTATGTTTAAATATGTACACACATACTCTCTTTCCTTTGCTCTGAAGCCATTTCTTTGTAAGGCTTCCATTATAAAGTGCTTAACACAAACCAGGCACTTCACCAATATGGACTCTAATCCATACAGTATCATTTTACAAATAAGGGAACTGAGGTTCTGAGATGAAAGCAATTAATATCCCAATATGTAAGCAGCAGAACTGGCATCTGACCTCAGACATGGCTGACTACAAAAGCAGATGTTCCTTCTGCTAGGTTGTCTAATAAACTACATACTCTCTTCTATCCCAAGGGCTATGTGATTGTGATATATTTTACATCATAATTCTTTTATAGGTGGGAATATATATACCTTTTAGTGAAATAAGAATGTAATTACTAAAACAGAAACATTAGCTTATCTGATCTTTGGAGAGAATGGGCTGCACTACTTAATTTTCTAAGAAACTGAAATTTAACTCTTACAGAATTGAGCTTAGAAATTTTCCCTTCCCTCACATAAAAAAACTTACAAAATGTAATCAATAGTTCCTAATTTCATTGATAATGTGAGGTTATCACTGTAAATGCCAATTATTATACTGTCCTATAATAGAGTGAGGCAGTAGCTTCTTTGAAGATAGGATGCCTGAATCAAAATCACATTCACAGGAAAAAGTTTATATCTTACATAGTTCTAGTCTCCTTTTGCTGTGGTTCTCTTCATCTCTGCTGTTAAATGATCCTGATTTTGCAATACCATGTTATCTTTTCTATGCTTTTATTTTTGGCAGTGCTGGGGATCAAACCCAGGATCTCATGTGTGATAGGCAAAAGCTCTACCTTATATTGATTTTTTTTCCTTTCTTCCCTGTAAATTTCTCCCATTTTTCAAGTTTCTTCTTTAATTGCTGGACTTATTGATCACATGCATAGGATGTTATTTTTAAATCTTAACATATTATTCCTGCTGCAACTCAAATAATTTTTTATATGTATTTTTTAGTTGTAATTGAACACAATATCTCTATTTTAATAATTTATTTATGTGGTGCTGAGGATCGATCCCAGGGCCTCTCACATGCGAGGTGAGCGCTCTACCACTGAGCCCACAACCCCAGCCCCTCAAATAATTTTTGATAATACGGGGTTTATGCTTGCTTGTTCAGTGTAATTCTGAATGCTGGAAGTTATGTATGACAAGGTTGACTTCCACATGACTAAGATAACATAAAACACATTCAGTTCATTCACTGAAAATAAATATGAATTGGAAAGTGGTTAAGTGATGGAAATTAACAGAAAAATGATAATATCTACCTTTGAAGAACATGCAATGTGGTAATACTCCACATATTTTTTTCTGAAAAATTAGGACCTTTTATAATAATCTTTGAAACAATGCTAATAGATGTAGTTGAAGACAACATGGGGGAAAAAACCCAAATTATTGCCAATATATTTCTGATTTCATCACCAATTCCTCTAATTGCCTTTATGGTCAGATTTCAATCTCCTTTGATAGCATTTTACTTTCTTGTTACCTTTTTAATCACTCCATTAATTTTCCTCAATGGTTTTTCTGAATCTTTACCATTTTTCTTATTTTTTTCTAATCTTAATCATTTCCACTACTTCAACTATTTCTTCTCTGCAGGTAACTCCTAAATCCTTATATGCAGCTGAGCTTTTCCTTGAGAAATCAAGTTTTAGGTTTTTAGCTATCCACTGGACACTTGAATTAAGATATGTTGCTATTATTCAGTATCATATATATAAAGCTCACTCTTTCCCAATGTTTTCAATATCAATACTTTAGTTCATGTATATTCACCCATTCAGAAATATTTATTGGTAGATAATGGATTAGGTCTTAGGGATAAAACAATGGATAAATGAAATTCATATAGTCACTGCCCTCTTGAAGGTTCAAGTCTGGTTTAAATGACATACTTTTTTGAATAACACCATCTTTTTTTTAAAATTTTTTTTCTTAGTTGTTGATAGATCTTTATTTATTTTTTAAATTTATTTATACGTGGTGCTGAGAATTGAACCCAGTGCCTCACACATGCCAGGCAAGTGAGCTACCGCTGAGCCACAGTCCCAGCCCATAACACCATCTTTTGACTTGTTATTTTTTCTTGTCTCTATATTAGTGACTGAGATTTTATAATCAGTATGGCTTAGAGTAGCCCATTCTTTTTCTTTCTACTGATACAACACTAGTTCAACATCAACTTAGTACCTTTCGTTGTGCCACATTAATGTAGCTATAAAATATTTTTGATGTCCTTATTTTTTCTCACTTATTTCCTTCACATTCATTGCAGATTAATATTCACAAAGTATCACTTTGTACAAACCACTCCTCTATTAAAAAAAATATCCAAAGTTTTTATAAAAGAGTCACACCTTCTACATTTCAAATCTAAATTATGCAGTCAGTCTTATACAGTATGACACTTTTTAGCACTTGATCCTAAGTGTGTCTTGCTTATTCTTCACCCCTTTAAGTCTTTTTAAATTAAATAAATACAGTCAATCTTCAAGTCTCCTTATTCATGCTTAACTAGGCCTCAGAGTTTGCTTTAACTCTACTTTCTCTTGACCACCTTGGCCAGAAAGGCTCACTTCTTCCTTCAAACACCAAAAGCAGTTAATTGATGTGCATTATTGAAAAATCCAGAGAGTAAAGACTACATTTGACATTTTTCATAAATAAATTTTTAATTTGATGATTAAATGCTGGGTAGTTTAAGTTGGGTTATTTAGATGTATTTAATGATCTTAGTTGGGGTATTTAAGTATATTTAATGTTCTCCCTTAAAATTTATATTAATCAAAATAGAAAAATGACTAGTACTAACCAAAAAGAATAAAACAGAATCTAAAAAAGCACGTAGGCAGTCAAAAAGCACAGAATTAAAAACAATTTGCTGTAAAACATTAAAAATCAACTAGGTAAATGCAATTTAGAAACAAAGGAAGAAGTTCTGATGTAGTGAACCATGCAAATATGTTTACCTTTACATATGCTGTATCTCCAATACAAATCTGGTCAAATGGTTGTTTGTCATGGCTCTTGGCTCCAAAGGTTATAGTCCCAGAAAGACTAATTTCCATTGATTTGGGGAACTTCTGGCCTAAAAACACAAATCAACTATTTTTTAAAAAAGTAGAGCCTATAGCAAATGAAAGGGAAAAAAGATCAACAAACAAAATCTTGCTCACCAATAATCCAGATCAGTAAGCTTTTCTCTCGAAATACTTCAAGCTGGCCAAAACTAACTTTGTATTCTAATTGTGTAATTGGACCTCTTTACAAAGAGAAAATTGAAAAAAAAAAAAAAGATCACAAATATAACAGCTTTAAATCAAATCTTGTTACTGTTACTTAATACAAAGACAGCAAAAAGGCAGATATGAATTCAAATTTGTAGAATAAAACAGAATAATAAGTACCTCAGAAAATACTAGAAACTGCATATATTTCATATTTCATGATATATATTTCATTGCTATTGACTTGTATGCAAAGTTCAGTGAAATTGCTAGAAATAAAGCCAGTAGTAAATAATCTTCACGGGGGTTAACTGGTTTCTTTATAATAACTAACAAGTTTAACTACAAAAGTAAAGACACATTTAAAGGTATCTATTTTTATGATTATGTTTTGGTTCAGAATCAGCATTCATTTGAGTAACAAAATTATTTAGTTCTTGAAAAAATAAGGTAAAAAGCAAATACAATTTGCTAAATACAATTAGGGGACAGTGGGAATCTACTACAGAAGGCAGACATCACAACATCATGTTATTTATCCCTACCTATTGTAAAAAGGTATATGAGCTTCACAGAATTCAAAATTATTTTTCACACTTTCATGAAGTTTTAAATTAACTTTTATTTTTAGTTGTATTTCTTCTTCTTTCATTTGATAGAAACCCAAAATTGGTGGTACAGGAACCTGAAAACAAACATAAATTTTTATGAAATTCTCAGGTTAATGGGTCTAAAATACTAATGGTAATGGGGGAGGGAGTTCTTGTGTATATTATACATATTACATTATGTGAATGTGCATATATACACACACATATACAAACCTAATCATTATATACAGATCTGTCTATGATACAGAGTGAGTTACTCCAACTGTTTTGACAATAGCAATAATGGGTCTATAAAAGGACAGAGATTCTTCTACCCCTTTCTGTTCCCAGACGAGAAAAGATGCCTTATAAAGGGGTACAATATATTCTTCCTCCTCTTGCTCTTCCATATTCTCCTCTCCAAATTATTTGACCTAGAGCACAGAACATGTACTAGACATACTGATAAGTGCTGCCCTGCCCATAGTTCCTGATGTTCCATCTGTATTCTGTAACTGCATTCTTCCCACGTTCCTCAACTCAGGAGTAACGCAGAAGTAGCTTGACTGGTCATCAATAACTGACTAAAGGGGAAAAATTTTGTAGCCTGGGGTAAGCCAATCATTCCTATTAGTAGATCAGAAATAAGACATAGAGACTCTGCTTATATAATGTAGATCCTAGAGCTTTAAATCTTATGCAAGCATAGAAAGTTGAAAGAGGAGACAGAAGCAGAGATAAGACAATGTGGACTTTTGGTATTAAGTGATTTTAATTTTTCATATCCAATATGGTCTGGGTCTACCTCTTTTCTTGAATGACAATGAAGACTGCCTATTGTCTTCTCAAAATAATTTATCCTAACTAAGGTCTACTAACATACTGATTGATAACTAGGGCAGAAACAAATGGCACATTATAGTAAAAAACAGGTTGGACTTTGGGATTCTGAAAAATCTGGGTTTAAATTAAAGTTCTGCCATTTATCAGTTACATGTAAAACATGACTAAATCATATCAAAATCTATTCTGTGTGTGTGGACTTCCTCTTAGGAATAATAATAAAAAAATTTCCCCGTCAACAGAAGAATGGATAAAGAAAATGTGGCTTCTTACAAGAAGAATGTAATTGTGGCATTTGCAGGTAAATGGAGAATATCACGTTAAGCAAAGTTAAGCTAATCCCCACAAACCAAAGGCTTAATGTATTGAGATGTGAATGCTAATTCACAATAAAGGTGAGGTAGCTAGGGATTAAGCAGAGGGGAGTAAATGGGGGCGGGGGAATGGAGGTAAGAAGAACAGTAGAATGAATTGGACATTATTACCTATGTGCATATATGACTACATGACCAGTGTAATTCCACATTATGTACTACCAGAAAAATGAGAAGTTATATTCTATTTATATATGTTGTGTCAAAATGCATTCTACTGTCACATATAACTAATTAGAACTTACTAAAAAAGTAAAAAATTGTTGACTTTGAAAGCTTTTTAATGTTGTTACAGACACCAGAGATTAACAGGTAGTCTATTTGAAGAAATGAATCTTCATCTTCATCTCTCAAATATTGTCTGGTAAATAACTTCTGAAAAATTCTTGTTTGGACCAAGTGTACAAATGATTGCTTATCAATAATATTTAAAAAGATCAGGAAAGTCTCAAACTTTTCCAAGATTATTTACCTGGGAAGTATAGTAGCATAAATTGAATGACTCTAAAGGTGGAGTGAATGGAAATTTATAAGGCCCACTAAATGCAGAATCATCCACTGCATCAATGCTGCTAGAGGTCAGAATGGCAGAATCAAGAGAAGTCACACAAGGATGAACTAGAATATCTTGAAGTGGAGATCCATTGGTGGGGAGGTTCAAGCTGATGGTGACATTTGGCATGATTCCTTCTAAATCACACTGTAATACAAGCAGAAATGGATATTATCAAGATATTGGAAACATACACCTTCTATTTGAGGCTTTTCTGAATTTATCAAAGTAATTTCCCCCAACTGAACTTTTTTTTTCTGCAGGAACTAATCTATTTGCTTTCTGTTTTCTGATACTTGTAAGATGCTATAGTCAGGTACCAAGAGAGCCTTCATATACCCCTCTGTTTATCACTATATCTCTGAGAAAGAAATGTTAAAAGGATGGGGATGTAGAATACTTGCTTAACATCATGCACAAAGCCCTGGATGCCTTTCCAGGTATGGGGAAAAATGTTGAATCTATTCACTACTCTACATTCCTTTTGTAATCATATTTGTTCAGGGCTTCAATTTGTTATACTTCTAAAAATATATCCATTTGTTTTCCTGTCATCGATCCATCTTCCATTAATGTCAGAGCTATCTTAATGAACCACAATTTTTATTATATTGCATCCATGCTCAAAATGTTTCATTGTTTGGTCCCTGTCTAACTCTTTAATCATTTTCCACCCTATGAACTCTGTTGTAGACATAGAGGATTCTTGCATTTTCCTGAATAATTCATATTGTCATACCTTCATATGTACCATTGCATGTGCTGTTTCCTTCAGTTAAAATGTTTTTTTTTCTTACTATAAACTTTAATTCTTCATGTCTAGCTCATTTCATATTTTGTATGATGCCTTACATTCTGATTCATCACGTCTACAGCCCACCTCTGCCATGTGGATGCCTAGAACCTTCTTCCATAGATGACTTGGGTTAGACTATCAGTGGGAGTTAGTAATGAGACACACAGAAGAAAGAAGGGAAAGGAAAGCCATTATTCTTAGGAGGTCGTGGAAACCAGATATGACAGTTTCACAGATCTCTCCCTGAACACCAGCTGTAGCACATTCACATATCTTTTCAAGAATTCCATTTTGTGGTTGTAACAGATTGTGACATGGCAGCTCTAAGACTTCTCTGTGAATTCTGGTTTATCTACTTATTCTTATCTCCAGAATGAAACTGTTACTCTTTCTGGAAGGTTGCAACCAGAGGAAGACTTGTATTTCTCAAGCTCCTCTCATAGTTGAATAAGCACTAATATCTGTATTTCTAGATATCTTATAGTACACACTGGCTAATTAAACCATATTGAGCCAGGCACAGTGGCACAGCACATACCTATTATCCCAGAGCCTCTGGACACTGACGCAAGAGGATCACAAGTTCCAAGCCAGCCTCAGCAACTTAGGGAGGCCCTAAGCAACTTACTGAGACTCTGTCCCAAAGTAAAAAATAAAAAGGGCTAGAGATGTAGCTCAGCATTAAGTGCCCCTGGGTTCAATCCCTGATATGGGGGCGGGGGGAAAGGCCATATTAATATCTTTTTTTGGCTAGATGTACACAATATTTTGAGAGTTAGTGGAACTCAGCAGGCAAAATGCTTAGTTCCAAATGCACTATCATATACACCATCTGCACCATGTATTAATTATCTACCGACAATAGGTATTTCTCTGTACCTCTGTTTCCCCTTTGAAGCTAGTTCTTTGAAAATAATATTTTTATCTCTAGTGCCAACCCCACTACTATGCATAGAAAATACTAAAAAATGTTTATGAGTTTATATCTTTTTCTAATTATTGACCCTACTTTACAAAATACTAATATATTTCTTTTCTAATGCTATACCTAACAATAAGTGAATTCATTAATGTACCTGTTATATTTAAGTATTTTACTTAAGAGAGAAAGCAGGCATTATGAATAGTATTAGATAGAATGAGTGCCTTATAAAGGTCTTTTGGTAAAAATTACAATTATGTCAAACTCAATTAAAAACAGAAATGCTAAATAATCTTACTAAAATGCTTAAAAATATGTTACTGTTTTAATTTTTTTTCCTCCTTTAGTGCTGGGGCTTGAATCCAGGGCTTCATGCATGCTAGGCAAGTGCTCTACCACTGATACAACTCAGTCTCTCCAGTGTTTTCACTTTGAAATTATCTGCTTCTTTATTCTCTATATGTAAGTTAATAAGAACAAAAAGTAGTTGTGGTTTTTGATGGATATTTATGAAGATAATAAAAAAAAATTTGATAAAAAGTACTATTAAAATTATGTTCAGTTTTTGATTATTAAATTATCCTGTAGCAGTCTAACACCCTTAAAGAGGTCAGAGAACCAGCATCTTATAAAAACCTCCAACGAATTATCCACTCTTCAAGCACTCAAAAGACCAGATTATCAGTCATTTACTATAGGATGAGGATGTCCATTCTAACTGAACATCTTTTTTTTTTTTTTTTTGGTGGTGGTACTGGGGATTGAACCCAGGGCCTTGTGCATGTGAGGCAAGCACTTTACCAACTGAGCTATATCCCCCACAGGATGTCTATTCTAAAAGGGATGTGTGTACTACCCTTTAAATCAGTCAGGCTTATATAAATGTGAATTTTAAAAATACATGTTTTAAAAACAGAAGGCATCTAAGTGCTTGTCTCATTTTAAAAATGACAAATGATTCACAAAACTGTGTGACGTTTCTGAAGATACATAGAAAAATAGTGGCAGACTAAGAATTAGAACTTCAGAATTAGAACTTAATTAGTTCTAATTAAGAATTAGAACTACAGGCTTTCAGTGCATCAGGTTTTCTACTAGACTAAGTTAAAACGAGTATAGTTATTTCCATTTATAATGGACTTCATAATAAAAATCTTCCTTTAAATATTTCTTTAAACTTCCCCATAAGCAATCTACTAGGGTCAGCTTATCAATCAGTGGAGACATTTAATTATTATATTAATTAGCATTTCATTATATACAATTTATTCCTTGTTTATTGAAACAGGATGAAAAAAACAGAAATGGTGAATTATCCTATTTTCATTATACCAAACTAACCAAAAAAAAGAAAAAAAAAAGATTTTTGACTACTTTAAGATTCATGAATGACATAGTCCATGATTTTAGGACTAATAGTTCTTTCTAATAGAATGAATATATTTTGACCTTGATAGAAGTACATTTAACATAGACAAAAGTTTTCAGTCACTTTTTTTTTTTTTTGGTCCTGGGGATTTAACCCAGGGACACTTTTACTACTGAGCTACATTTCCAGTCTTTTTATTTTTCACTCTGAGACAGGGTCTTGCTCACTAAGTTGCTCAGGGCCTCACTAAGTTGCTGAGGATGATCTGGAACTTGCAATCCCTCTGTCTTACTCTCCTGAGCTACTTTCATTATGATTAAAAGGGAACTGAAAAGAAATACCCAATTTCCCTGTCAGGACTATTCTGATTCTCTGTTCTTGAAATCTACTTTTATCCACAGGATCTACCTAGCCACTTAACATTAAAGGATGATGGAAAAATAAAGACGTCTGAGAAAATTATTAATACATACTGATAAGAGTTTACTTGGAGGATTTTTATTTTTGGTCATTATTCAACATGGCATTAACCACTTGCTAACTCTATTAATATTTCCATTCTTTCCCCATCTTCTAACTTTAAACCACAGAATCTGATACTGATCTGTTACTTGTTTAAATAAAAAAAGAGCACTTCAAAATGATTTTAGCTATCATATCAGAGAATTAGTCAATTTCATGTGTTAGAGAAAATGGAAAATAGGGTAATTTTAAAATATGTTCACAAATTCTTTGTTCCAAAAAGTGGAACAAATCCCTACCTCTTATGATCAGATTTAGTGACTTGCTTTTAAACAAACAGAAAATAGTGGAAGTGATACCATGTGATCTTCTAGTCTAAGTAATAAAAATAATTATCTTCTGATTCAATCTTTTTCTCTCATATCATTTGATTCAAGGGGAGCCAGTCCCCAAATTGTGAGGACACTTAAGCAGCCTGTTTAAAGGTTCACATGTAAAGGAAATGAAGCCTCCCTCCAATAACCAGCTCTAATTTGCCAGCCAAATGAGTGAGTCATCTTGCATGTTCCAGCTTTCAAATGACTATAGACCCAACCAAAATCTCGACCCTTACCTCTTGACTTCTTCTACATTAGAAGTTCCCAGCTAATTCCCAACACCACAAAACAAAACAAAACAAAACAGAAGTTCCCAGCTAAGCTACTCCTGAAGTTATGACCCACAGGAACTATGAGGATAATAATGGGGCAATTCATCACATAGTTATGTCTATAATTTAATTATACCCTAAAGGTTAAAAAAAAAAACAAAGATACCACTTAACAATGTAAAATACAAGTAATAGAATTTTATTTTCTCCATATATGTTAAATGGTATGATAAAGCAAATACCCAAGAAAATCTCACCTTGCAAATGACTGCTCCAACAACTTGCCATGTATCTGCTATATCCTGTTTATCATATTGCATGGATTTTACCTTTTCAGTAATAGAAACAGAAACCTGTGGTTTTCCTTTGTATGTTCCAGCTTTCCAAGCTGGCTGTTTCTGTGGCTGAGACACAGAAGCAAAATTAATATTATCCAACGAATTCTGTAAGTTGGCATCTAATAAAGTACCAAATGGACAAGCCTGAAGAAGCAAATTAGGCAACTGGCTCAATTTTGTATTTAGTTCAGTATCATTTTTTTGACTAGAATAAAGAAAATCCTGTATACCAAAAAGAAGTTCCAAGCCTTGTGAAATTCCACTGATGCTAATTAATGGTGGACGAGGGGAGAGAGTTTGTTCAACAAGTGGAACACTAGCATATATCATGCCATTCTTCAGAAAAGCAACCACTGGCCAGAGTTCTTCACCTCCTACTGAAAGTCTATATATGGTTGTTTTATTGATGTGTGTACAGCTATCACGACGCTCTACGAAGTCCTTATCATCATCCAATAATCTAAGTTCAAAAAGGAGTGCTTTAAGAAAGGGACCATCTTCAGGAATAGGCACATAACTTGCTCCATTGAATACTTTGGCTCTCTTTTCAACGGTTGGATAACGTCTGCATTAGGAAAACAAGAAACATTATAAATGATTCTTTCAAATAAAATAAAAATGGAGAAATTAAGAAAAAACCCTAGAACACAAGGCAAACAGGAATAACAATAAAACATAAAATAACAAATATACATACCCATAAAAGCCAAAATCCCCAAAACATATGTTAAATTCCTATCAGAATAACTGTTTTATATTTGAGGTTGTTCCAAATGATAAAGTGTCATCTATTACTGAAAATGCTTAGTTATTTAATTTTTTAAATAGGTAAAGTACACCAATTCTAATTCAAAAAATTGTCAGGCACTCAGATTCCTTCTTGGTAGACAGAGTATATATACCTAGACCATTCTAGGCATTCATAGGATTTTTTTTTTTTTATTCCTTCCTAGAGGAGTAGGACTAAAGAAGTGATTCAATTTACCCTCTGAAATTTTGGATCCACTAGTTAAGATGATATGATTAAAGAAATGTTCTATTCTACTTAGTCTATAGTGAATAACACCCTGAGTCTATTTGCTAAACTTTTTAAAAATATGGAACATTGTTTTATTAATAATAGTTTAACTCTATGGCTCTGGAAAACACTATTAAAAAAAGAAGTCTGACTATTCCTTTATGGTTTGCATGTCTGGGTTAAATGGTAAGTTAGTAATTTATTTTGTTTTTCCTTCTTTCAGGAAACAGAACAAAAGATGTTTTTGCTCATTTATAGAAATCTGTTAGTCAAATTTTCTTAGTTTAAAAAAAATGTATTTTTTCCCTGTTCTTTCCTGCTCCACTTCAAAGTCTAGAATGAAGCTGTTAGCTACTGACTTTTGAGTAAATCATCTAACTTTCCTATGCCTATTTTCTTATTTATAAAGTAAATGGGAGGCTTGGGGGTGTAGCTCAGTGGAAGATCACATGCTAGTGTGAGGCCCTGGGTTCAATCCAGCAAGAAAAATAAAAGGGTGACAAATATCAGTAGTTTTTAATCAAGAGTCAAAAACATACTTATATAAAAGTTTTTTCCACTAATAAAATTCTGATGTTGCTAATAATTTTTAAAAGAAAAATAAGGTTACATTCAAAGTTAACCATTTATGAACAAACCTCACTTTTTAAAATTATAATGTATTTTCTTGACTGAGGAAGGGGAAGATTCAGCCAGCATATCATTTGTGATGCATCTTATTCTCTGTTTACCTAGAGGACAAAGTTTTTAAGTGTAAAAATTTCATGACTGAATGTAAAGATGGTTAATATGGGATCTTACACATGTCTCTCTATGTGTTCAATAAATACTTTGTTGGGTTATTTGACCTGTCATTTCAAATTTATTCTGAGCTATTTGTAAAACATGACTCAAACCTTAATTGGCCCTAAAATTAGGAATACAATAACAACTGAAGCCAGACTTAAGCTGATACAATTATTATCTGGACAGCAAACCTTTCCAGAATCAAAACTAATTTTTGCTGTGGGAAATAAATGGTTAGATAGAGGAAAAGTCACTTTTCTTATTAAATCTTAAACAACAGTTATTATCCTTTGTTGTACTAATTAATAATATGCCAAAGCATATCTCTTTAGTCCTAACAGTAATCCCAACAGATCAGGAATCTGAATAATAAAACATTACCAATTCATTCAAATAATAGAGAACTAAAGTCACAGATGTATTATTTGGTCACTTTGCTGCTTCCAAGGAGTTGTTGAGAAGCTCAATCAAATATATCTGAGGTTTCTTCTAAAATAGTATTCTGAGCACACTGAGAAAACATTTTTTGCATGACTTCTTCAAGGAACATATTTTCTTAAGCAGTAAAAACTTTCACTTCTATATTAAAATACACTACAAAGCCACAGACATAAAAACAGTATGGTACTGGAACAAGAAAGACAAAAAGAACTGAGATAGAACAATGTTTTTATGGGGGAACATAATAACTATTATTAGTAATTTCATCACTCAACAAATAAAAGATATACTGCTTTGAAGATGTTAGGAAAACTGGTCCATGATAAGAAAGAAATAAAATGGGATTCCTGCCATCTCTAAAGATGTTCTACAGATGGATTAAACTTCTAAATATAAGAGATAAAATTGCAAAATTCAGAGGAGATAATGTGGAATGATATCTTTGGGAAATAAGGGTAGACAAATAGTTCAAAAAATTCCTGAGGAGCTTACTACTCCAATTGCATTAAAATTAGTGATCTGTTTAACCAAGAACAACATTAAATTGACAAAAGATAAATTTAAAAATCTATACTAACAATGACATGAATTAGTATAAAGAATACATAGCAAACTCCTACAAATCAACAGGAAAAAAACAGTAACTTTCAAAGAAAAAAAGGACAGGGGATATATATGAGGCTATTCACAGAAGAGGAAACCCAAAGGACTAACCATTATTGCTACACAGAGAAATGTCAATCAATTAGAACACATGTCAGGAAAGAACAGATATAGGAACCCTCACTAATCACTGGTGAGTCTCGATGGGTGCAATTAGCATTTTGAGAAGCAAATTAATTATTTGGAAATATTTATTCAAAATCAGCATATGTATGCACTATGGACCTGTTTGATGATGTCTACTTGAGAATTGTTCAGATGGCTATGAATTGGAAGCCACTTTGCAGATTATCACTAGGGAAAGGAGATAGGTAAAATGTGGAGGTAAACGAGTACTACAGAGCAAGTAGAAGCAACAGCCTAAATCTAGGGTACAATAGAGACACTAAACACATGAAGTTATTTAAACTTATATTAAAACTAAGCAAAATTAACAAGTGAGTTTCTCAGATCAGCCACAGTTCAAAAGCTCAATACCTACACATGCATATGGCTATATTAGCCAACACAGGTTTAGAACATTTCCCCTTTCCATCAATAGTAGAAAAATTCTGTAGGATAGCGCAGCTCTAAATGAACACAAAGTAATATGTTTCTAAGAGCACTGGAAAGTCTGACAAATGCAACAAAAGGAAATCTAAAGCACAATTAATTACATAATTTGACAAATACATATAAACAAAAAGATAATAAGAACATGTAAGAGTTACCTGCTGGAACAGGAGAATGGCAGTTAGAAACAGGTAACCAAAGGGAATATATTAGTAAAATGAAGATATCCTGGATGAATAATGAGGCTGATGAACCATGGACCAAAGAATAATACTAATTTCTTGTGTTTGAGGTCCAACAACAATAAATGTAAGCCAAGTGTTCTGAAAGAAAATGGTAAACTCCAACTCTGATGCCCTCTGTAACAAAAATTGTTTAGGCTGCAAAAGCAATGTCTCATATCTACATTGCCAATTACTTTAAAATTACATCCTTCTTTATCTGGCTCAATCTCATTTCCATCAGGCTATGTCACTATAGACGGAAGAATGAATAAATAGCAAAAAAGAACTCTAAGTGGTCACTGAGAATAAAAGGTGAAACAGATTAGTTTCCCTAACATTTTACAACGAATTATTGTATACAGTTCTCTTCATAAAACTATCTTGATAAAATATGGAGAGTTGTAAAAGTGGGACCAGATCGCTTACACGATCTAAGAAAAAAGTGAATGCAATTCTTCATACTTCCTTTTCTTCACCAACCGGGAACTAGCGATGTGTTTAGCAATGACACAAAATAAGATGAAAATAAGTCATACTGCTTAGCAAGGATTTTTTCTAATGAGTTAAAATGTCCTTGATTTTATCAATGAGTCGAAACTTTTGAAACGTGTTTATACTGTTTTTTTCCTTTTTCCTTTATCATCTCTGTATCAATCCTAAGCAGATGGAGTTAATTTTAAGATGCAATAATATTTATACTAGAAAACGCATGTAATAATCTGTCAGGCAACAATTCGTTTTATTTTTACAACAGTATAAAATATTCACTTAATAGGCAAAACAGAGGTTAAGTAACTTGACCAAGATCATTCGTGGCAGATCTGGGATACAATGCATCACAAAACAATGCTACATCAATGAATCTTCGATTGATCATTCCTGGGGATTCAGATTTGCATTTACCTGGAGAATCTCACGGTGCCACGAAGTGGAGTTCCTGGTTCGTGGCGTATAAGCCACACTGCTCGCTGGGCCATAGTAAGCCACTAAAGCATAAGCTCAGCTCCTTACCAAAGTCACCACCAAGTAACAGCGCAGACCGGCTTTCTCCGCGGGATTCTTAACTGAAGTCCCGAGATTCGCGCTGCGCCACACACGAACTCACTAGAGATGCTGGCTCTTTCAAGGGAGGCGAAAAAAACCTCTGATTCTATCCTGGTCAAAACATACCACAAAAAGTTCTAAAAATCCGCACCTAGAATCTTGAGAAACTTATCCCCAGCAAACCCAGTATTTTCTTCCTCTAATTTCCACTTCCGGGATGGTGGCCCGCAAGGATCAAGGTTCCTCACTTGCCCAAGCACCCAGCCTCTCTTCGGTTCGCCAGCCGCTAGCTTCCCTCGCCTGCCCCTCCCGATTCCTTTCGGGCGCGCGCAGCTCCATTTCCGGCGTATGAGGCGGTGACAATGGGAGCGGCGCGGGCGGCGCCGGGAGGCAGCTGACAGGCGTCTGCGGCTCCGCTTCATGGCCGTTCTCTCGCTCAGCCTGGTTTCTGTAAGGACTGGGAAAGCCCGCGGCGGCTCGGAGTTGGAGCTGACCAGCCAAGCAGGGACCTGTGCGCAGCGCCACTGAGGCGCAGCATGTGAAGAGGAGACGGCATCCAGCGCGGGGCGAGCCTCTCAGCCGGCCGGGATGGCCACGACGGCCGAGCTGTTCGAGGTGGGTCCCGCGTCTCTTCGGGGAGTGGCAGGCCCGGGGGGTGCGGGCCGCGAGGTGGGCGGGCGGAGAAGCGGGCGTTCTCCCGCGGTCCGGAAGAAGCCCTGGGAAGGAAGGTGCTAAAGCCAGGGTGGGGTGGCGGCTTCGGCGGCGCACGGGCGGAGCGTGCGGTGGGGGAGGGGAGGTTTGGGGCCGCGGGGGGCCGGTCGGTCACTAGCGCTAGCTGGTTGTCCCAGGAGAGGGTTGGCTTGGTCCGCGGGGTGTGAGGGGTGTCTCGGAGGTCCCTCCTAGTGAGGGACGATGTCCATTTGGAATAAGTCGTGGGAAGGGCTGACTCCGGAGGCGAGTAGAGGAGCCGGCAGCTCCTGGTGGGGCGAGCCTTGTCTTGTCGCGTGGCTCTTCGTGACAGTATTCCAAGGGGACCACCTGAGACTGCGACTCTTGGGGGCTTCTCATTGCGCCATTAGTAATACCAGAAGTGGCACTCATGTGCTTACTCTTAACATTTGGTAAAGCTGTGAGTCTTTTTTTTTTTTTTTGGACAGTAAAGGCCTGTTTAGCCTACAATTGAAGGGAATCAAAACTGAAATGATCATGTGTTGGAATCTTAGGAAATTTAAGGGTGTTATAAAAACCACCTAACTACGAGCTGGAGCATCGTGAACGTGCGCTTGACAGTGTGCATTCTAATGTATTTCCTTGAATATATTCAGTCTCCTAAGCCTGAAAATTTAACTTTTTGAAGTCCAGTGTAAAAGTGTGTCTTGTTTGAAAGGATAGGAAAGCTGCAACTGAACCACGAAACAATGAAACGTATAAAATATTTCCTTGTGTGAAAGAAAGCGGAGATATGAGGGAAAAGAAAGGAAAGACCCTTATTTGGTGTGGCTATTCTTTATTGAGTTACAGAAGTATAAGCAGTAGAGCACACTGCCATTCACAATTGAGAATTTCTCACCAGGGAAAATTGTATCCTTTTTCTGCCTGAGATTCAGCAGTTTGTGTGGCTTAAAATTTAGATGACACAGTTTTTGTTACAATTGGAACTTTTCATTATTACTTTTGTGAGTATTATGTCTTGGCCTTCAGTCGTCCCTTGCATAGATAACGCTTTTTTTGAGGGGGATGACATAATATTATAATGAATTTAATAAAACAGCAAATTTTGAGTGAAGCATTATAATTAGATGAGATTTAAGAAGTATTAATTGTGCTTTCTCAAATTTAATTGTTAGAGGATACATTACATCAGTTTGTCCAATTATAAAATTGTGCCATCTGCCTTTTGACACCAGAGCAAGGAGACATTCTTGCTGAGAACTTTTACTGTGTACCTGGGCAGAATACTAGGTAGTTCTGTAGTTCCTTGTTTTCTTTTTCACATCTTACAAAATTTTGTGAAGGTGTTTGAGATTTTTAATTAATGTATTTTGTGACAAACCAGCTGTTAACAAAAATCTGTTATATTGTCCTACAGTTCATAAGACACTTTTGAATTAATGGATCCTCCTTGACATTCTCAGTTGTGTCTTGAATCATATTTTAAATACATCTTTTCTTTAGATGAGTGACCACATGAGTTCCGTAACTTACTTGAAAATATATTTGAGTACTACCTTCTTCCCCAGGGGGAAAAAAGGGGGTTGTGGTGAAATATATATTTTGTTCTCTAGGGTCTTGCCATTTAGTAAAGTAGTTAAGCCAAATTAGGGTTTACCTTATCTTATTGTCTCCAGTTACATGGTAGCTGGTGAGATTTAGTGGTGGTGACAGAGACAGAACCTCTGACCAGAGGGTTCTTAGACCAAACTTAAACATATTTATAGGTCTTAACTCAAGTGACTTTTCCCTGGATATATGTAGCTGTTGCATCATCAAAATCAAAGGCATGTTGTAATAATAATTATAATTATTAGTTAAATGTAATTAAGAAGTATATTTATCTTTTCCTGGATGCCTATGAGTGTAGCTCTACAGTGGACTCTGCTGTTGAGGAAGTTTTCATTCTCAAGAGAAAAGTTGACCTCTTAAGATTTTAGAGGGAGAAGAAAGAAAAAACCCTCAGTCACTTCTGCCATTTCCTGCTGTTACTACCATTGATCTAGGTTGCAGAATAAATCAGGGAGTGTCTTTTTCTCCTGCTTCCCTTTCTTAGTCACAACTGGGGAACTGTGGAAAACAGGGCAGGATGTAGTCAAGGATATTTTGTTTTTATGCATCCTGGTTTTCATGTACTGTTAAATAGAATTGTGCTTTCATTTTCCACATTGAAGAGATTATAAAAGGAAACAACATTAAACTGTTAACTGTGCTTTTAAAAAATAAATCTCTGACTTTTCCCTTTTAAACAAAGAAGACGTTATGCAACAAAGTCAAACTGCAGGATATTTCCTCAGTTGGCAGAAATGATTTATTAATAGATGATTCATTTATTGTTATAATGTATATCATAGAAATCTCCCAGTTTCAACCCTTGTTGACAGATCTTTCTGAAGGTATCATCTGAGTGTTTTTAAATGATCACCTCAGGATGAACTTTCTGAACAAGATTCCTCTGTGGTTTGGATTCATTATGTATTCTACACATAAATAATGACTGGAGTGGTAAATTCTTTTTCTGTTGTTGCAGATGTTCCTCTTTTATTGCACTACTGAGTATATTTTCTCTCTTCTCATTTGCTAATTTTCTCTCATATCATTCTTCTAGAGTCTTGTCTCTGGGCAGGCTACCTTTATGGGAGGATTTTTTGTTAGAACTATGGTCAATTACTCATTCATTCAATAAAATACTTTTTTTTAGTACCTATTAAGTTCAATTCACAGTATCAAGATTAATGAGGGGGGCTGGGGATGTGGCTCAAGCGCCCTCGCCTGGCATGCGTTTGGCCCGGGTTCGATCCTCAGCACCACATACAAAGAAAGATGTTGTGTCCGCTGAAAACTAAAAAATAAATATTAAAAAAAAAAGATTAATGAGGCTATATGTCTCAAAGGGCATGCCCTAGAAATATTAATTTATTCATTTATTCATTTTGCAAATATTTATTGAGCATTTTACTTTAACTCACCATCTCCAGGGATTAGAGGTAAAAGATGATCCCAGCAACTTGGGAGGCTGAGACAGGAGGATTGCAAGTTCTAGAGCAGCCTCAGCAATTTATCAAGGCCCTGAACAACTTAGTGGGATCCTGTCTCAACATAACAAATTAAAAAAAAAAAAAAAAAAAAAGGCTGAGATGTAGCTCAGTGGTAAAGTGCCTCTGGGTTCAATCCCTAGTACAACTCCCACCCCCACCCCAACAAAAAAGAAAAAAGTAGAAAAGAAAAAAGACGGTGAGTTAAAATTATAGTTGGGGGCGCTGGGGATGTGGCTCAAGCGGTAGCGAGCTCGCCTAGTGTGCGACCCGGGTTTGATCCTCAGCACCACATACAAAGATGTTGTGTCCGCCGAGAACTAAGAAAAAATAAATAAATATTAAAATTCTCTCTCTCTCTCTGTCCCCCTCTCTCTCTCACTCTCTCTTTAAAAAAAAAAATTGTAGTTGGGGTAGAAAAATGTGTTAATATGGTGCATGGAGTCCAGGATCTTTTCCTGGGATGATTAGGAATGTTTTCATATAGTAATGACATTTCAGGGCAGACATAGACGGTAACTCCAATTTGTAAGGGGGTGTGTGTTTAGGGAATATTGAAATGAGACAAGGTGTGTCTGTGCATGGTTTAGAAATAGGGAGTGTTGTGGCTGGTGATTCATAGTAAGATATTGAAATTGAGACCATGGGGGTTTGAGGAAGATTTGAGAAAGCTTTTTGTAGACCATATTTAAGGGGCTGAGCTGACTTCCCTCCCCGCACCCATCTCCTTTTCTTCAGTACTAGGGATTGAACCCAGGGGTAGTTTACCACTGACCTACATCCTTAACCCTTCCAGCACTTTTTATTTTTACATAGGATCACCCTAAATTGCTGATGCAGGCCTGAATTTGTAATCTTCCTGTCTCAACCTCCCAGAGTGCTGGAATTATAGGTGTGTGCCACTGTGCCTGGCCTGATATGCTTTTTTAAAAAGGGGATGTCGGGGGAGGCAGGGAATTTTAATGTTCATATGAAGAATGGCCTTCAATGGATAAGAGATTTTTAGCTAGGAAAACAGGGGTCATGGGCAATCTGCCTTAGTTCTTATCATTTGAATTATTTCACAATTGTCTGTTGATTGATTAATCAAGGCAGGGAAAATTTTAGCATAATTTAATGGAAACACAGAAGCCAAGAAATCTGGAAAGATGTGTTGGAGGAAGAATCAAAAGAGTTCAGTTAATGAGGAGTTAATTCCAAGTTTATGAACTTTAGAAAGTAGGTGGTTGATGATGTACTAACTGTGACACAGAAATTGGAAGAACCCTTCAGGGGTAAGGAATAATGTATTCATTAAAAAAAAAGTGTGTGTGTGTGTGTGTGTGTATATATATATATATATATATATATATATATAAAATTTTGAGTTTTTATTAAAGTATTTTGGTGAAGAAGTCAAGAAGGCAATTTTAAATATGAATTGGTTACTCGAAAAGAGGGCATAGCTAGTTAGGAGTTTAGGAATTACTATTTTAATTGGATGGTTATTTAGATCTGGGAATGAATGACATCTCTTAGATCTACTTTTTAGTAGTTATGTGGTCTTGAGCAAGTTA